GAGGGCCTTCTCGAGGAGGTCAACGGTGAGAGTGGTGGGGCAAACTGAGAGGAAGTGGTCCCTGACTACGCGAAGGGAGTCAGGGAGCCGGGTGACTATGTAGTAGAGGGTGATGTACATGGGGGGGGGGGGTTCTTGGCGCAGAATTCAGCAGGAAGCGCAGCGCGGTAGCGAGTGTCACTAGTGCGGAGGTGCGTAATGAGGTCAGCGACTGTGGGAAAGGCAGCAAGGTCAGGGAAGAGGTACGGTAGCATGAGGCGGCTCAGTGCAGCAGTGGCAGGGGAGGAGTAGCGCGCAACTACAGCGTCGTACAAGGTGTGAGCACTCTTGTACTGGCTAAAGTGCGCACGCTCAGAGGTAGGCAGGTGGCGACGCACAGCAAGACGTGCAGCAGCATCGCGTGTGGCCCACTGTGAGCGAACAGTGGCGTCGGCATCAGCAGCAGGGGCAGGAGAGGCACCAGAGGTGAGGTCAAAGAGGGAGAGACCGTCTGCCCTATCGCACTGTAGGAAAAGCTGCAGGTCATCTACCCAGACGTCAAAGTCAATGGCCCGACCCTCAGCGTCAAAAGCGAGGACACTAGGGGTAGCCATGACAGCAGTAGACTAGCAGCGCGAACAGTAGGGTAAGGGCAGTGCAGTGACAGAGGCGCTGCTCTTACCGGACAGGGCGGCTCGGGCGGCTCGGCGGCTCGGCGGGTCGGCAACTCGGCGGCTCGGGCGGCTCGGGCGGCTCGGGCGGCTCGGCGGTACGGCGGCTCGGCAGCAACTGCGGCTCGGCGACTCGGCGACTCGGGCGGCTCGATCGGCTCGGCGGTACGGCGGTGCGGCAGCAACTGCAGCTCGGCGGCTCGGCGACCCGGCGGCTCGGGCGGCTCAGGTGGCGCGGCGGCTCGGGCGGCTCGGGTGGATCGGGCGGCTCGGCAGTAGCTCGGCGGCGCCGGCGGCTCGGTGGTGACGGCGGGGCCGCGTGGGGACGGCGGCGGGGCCGGGTGGAGCGGCGGCAGGGCCGGGTGGAGCGGCGTCGGGGCCGGGTGGAGCGGCGTCGGGGCCAGTAGAGGCGGCGCCGGGGCCGGGAAGGGCAGCTCCGGGGCCGCAGGGGTAGGCGACGAGGCCAGCAGAGGCGGCGCCGAGGCAGGGAAGGGCGGCGCCGGGGCCGCAGGGGTAGGCGACTGGGCCGCGAGGGCGGCTAGGAGGGGGGGGGTCGCGAGGGCGGCTTGAAGAGGCCGCGAGGGCGGCTAGAAAGGGCCGCGAGGGCGGCTAGAAAGGGCCGCGAGGGCGGCGTGAAAGGGCCGCGAGGGCGGCGCGACACGAAGGAGCCGCGAGGGCGGCGGATCGGGGCCGCGAGGGCGGCGCGACGCGGCCGCTAGGGCGGCGCGACGTGAAGGGGCCGCGAGGGCGACGCGACGGGGCCGCAAGCGCGACGCGACGGGGCCGCTAAGGCGGCGCGACAGGGTCGAGAGAGGGGAGCGCGACTCGGGCAGTGGAGAGCGCGCTCCGGGCAGGAAAAAAAATGTGGTGGGCCCTAGGAACAGTTCCCACAGGGGAACCTGCTCGATACCATGAGAAACTGAACGAGAATGAATTGACTAAGGGAAAGTTGGGTACAAATGTAAACCCTAGAAAACTGTACCCCATATGTGCTACCCCACTATAGCCTACAGTAGCTATGTCATATAAATCTGACACATTGTTTACTCCAACTTGGCATCCTGCAAAGGATTAAACAAATCGAAGTTAGACAATACTCAAAACTGAACAATCTGAAAGAAGGCGTGCGAAACGGCCATGGATTCAAAAACAAACTTGAAAGGTAAGCCATCTTACCTCTGGAGCTTGGAAGGTAGGCTGGGCGGAGGGCGGTGTGATGGCGGGTTGAAAGTCGTGTTGGAGCTCCAACAGGTGCGGATTGGTTGATGCGTGATTCAGCGTTCTTGACTTGCACTTGATGTCCTGCAAAGGTCAAAACGACTTAGTTAGAATATACTCAGATCTGGAAAAAGAAGTTAGCAAAACGACCGAAAATCAATAAGTTTGGGCCGGGCCTTGACGTAACAAGGCTTACCTCTGGAGTTAGATAGGTAGGCTGGGCGGGGGGCGGGGGTGTGGATGGAAGCGAGATGATGGATGGCGTCGGGGGCGAATGGTCATGGCGAAAACTCCAGAGTCCTTGGATTGAGAGTAGTTGGTACAAAATCGCTGCTGAAAAATGGTGAGCTAGAGTTTGAAAAGCTAATTTCTGTAATATATAGTTCTTCCCAGTGAACACATGTGGTTTGCAAGTAACCTTGTTCTGTATGCCACGCCTCAGCATTGGGACAGAGTTGAAGCGAACCAACTTTCTGGTCGTGGCTCGTAACGAGCGAATTGGAACCCTAACCTTGGTTTGGAGCTGAATGAGCGGCTGACTTGGCGGGTTTTTCTTATTTGGGCCGCTACACTTCGCGGCTGTTTCCATCTCCCTGCCTGTGAGGACTCTCTCTGAGCCACCTTGCCCCAAGGGGAGGATGGAGGAGACGGATTTCTAACAGCACCACGCGTTTCAGCTGTGTGTCAGCAGCATAGAGCGGGCGGTGGATTGCAGCAGCTTTGGTTGATGTCAAACACAATTTATAGGGGAAATTCTGGACGCTAATCTTTCAAGAAACACCAGATTCTGTACCGCATTCCAGTCCATTCTCCGAGACTCTTACTTTTGATTGCGACCCTTAGCACGCTGCCACTTGGAAAATAATGAAGTGCGGAAAATCTCGCAGGGAAAATTGTTGGAAGGGTGGGGGTGAAGGGGGAGGGGGGGTGCGGGTTGTTGAGGGACGGAGTCGAGTTTTACCAGTTATTTTCAACCAGGGCCCGCTACAAGATCTCCCGTTGCTTAGTGAACTGTTCAAAAGTCCACGTCCAAATTTTGCCACACCCACCCTAAATCGGCTGCCACTTGTGACTGCCAATTGTGAGTGCCACTTGTGACTGCCACTTGTCCTTCGAAGCATGCTGCCCTAGCATAAATTTTGGGTCTCCAACTTTCCAAAGGCTTGAGGCAGGGGTTGAGCCCTTCGACGGCATGTTTCAGCCTTGTGTCAGTGTTTTTGCACTGCTTTAACGAGTCGCGTGTGTGACAACGCGAACCATGCGTCAGCGAGCAAGTGCTGCAAGGATGAACAATGTCCGCAGATTAGTAACCCATATAACAAAGTGGCCGTCATCCAGAGTGCTGCTTCAAGAAGCTTGACACGGAAGGCGGCCTCATTGTCGAAAAGTTCACTCACAATTTCGGGCACACAAACCACAACCGAAGCGCGTTGCCGCACGAATTTGGCTCAGGTTTGGCGAAAATGCGGGAATCTGAGGCTCGGACAGTGTAGCCGAGGCTGGTTTATTGACGTCACAACACAGCACAGCGTTGCCAAAGGAACCATCGCAATTGAGCGTGCGAAGCTGCCTTTGGACTGTGCTGACGACAACTGAGCGACCGAAAATTATCGCTAAATTCCGCGCCAAAATCCAGCAGTGACACGGTGGCAGGAGCAAACTACACATCGCGCCAATGAAAATCGATCGATCCTAGTGGGGTCAGCCCACATCAGCATTGAAGATGCACTCCGGCTGAGGACAAAGGAGCGACCATGAAATCGTCGCCATTCAGTGTAAGCAAGGTGCCATGCTGTACAGTATCCGCCACATCAGCAGATTTGAAGAGTCGCCCATTCTCCACACGATTTTCCTTTCTGTACACATACAGGCCTTGTTCTGTGGCGCTAACTCAGAGTTAGCTAACTCTGAGTTACCGATCCTTGTAGGGTTGGGTGAGTTCACCGACGAATAATCATTTCGCTCGTGTGAAGGTATGAGTTGTAACTCACCTTATTGTTGTTCTGTGGCCCGTAACTCTGAGTTATGGGAGTGTCAGGAAGGTTCTCGAAGATGTCCCGGTCAAAACTTTTGGACTCAACCCGAACTGCCGCCCCTTCGAAACAAATTTCACGAAAGGGTGACCATGAAGGTAATCTTGGAATCTCGGGGTCGCGTGGTGCAGACAGAAAAAGATGGAGTCAGTGCAAGATCAGTTACGGGCCAAATATGGGAAGCGTAGGCACTAGTTGGAAAGAACCAAATGTGGGCATTGTTAAGGTAACCCCTTTCGAGCCGTACTCAGAGTAGTGCAGCCAACTTTCACCCAAAAGCCCGAGTAAGGGAAAGCTGTAACTCTGAGTTAGTTTGCCCGTGAAAGAAGATTCGGTGCATGCTTCCTACGAAGCGTACTCAGAGTTATAAATTCGCGTATTTGGAACCCATATTTGCTAACTCATAGTTAGCTGGCACGGTGTGATTGTAACGTACACACGTGTGAGGGTTGAGTTAATGAAGCCACCACGAACCCTGTTAACTCTGAGTTAAGGGGCCACAGAACAAGGCCACACTGCACAGTTCGCGTCTGGTAGGTGGCGGTTCAAAGTGACGAAGCGAAGTGATACAGTACACTTATTATCAATATTTCTTTTCAATTAGTTATTAGATGCAAAAAGTGAATGTGATTATATTGGACTGAAGGAGGATGTAACCTACGCACATGTTCGCCTGCGGATTTCTCGCCAAGTCATTCAGATTTCCCGCTTGATTGCAAAACAAATCTTTGGTCCCTTCTGCGACATCTGAAGTTCTGAACCGAAGGTTGGAGAGGTTTGAAGCGGTTAACTGACTTGACCGCTCGAAATTACACAATACCGTTCTTGACCGAACCAAAAGCATGCATTTGCAGCACAATTACGCGACACGATAGCAGCCAGCACCTTGTGCGCGTGTCTGGGTTCTTGTGCGTACGACCAAGGTCACCACAGCCAGTGACAGATGAATTCCCTTTTTATGATTCATGACCACGCAAAGACGCTTGCCGAATCACTCGCCATCGGCACTTTCGCTTTTTGTTCTTCCGCTGAATTAACTGGTTTCTTTCGGTTATTGTGTGACTATTATAATAAAAGAACGTACCTATCGCATTTAGCTATGGCGGCGGCTGCGGTGCTGCCAGCACCCACGCAGTTCAAAGCGGCTCGAGCCGTGGTGGCAGTAATGGAGGCGTACCGCGACGCGCGCATGCAGTTCGTCACGAAAGTCGGCGAACTCGCGGTTTCGCCTCAGGTGCGCTATAGTCTCTGTCTCTGTCTACATCTAATCTCAGCTTCTCTCGGATTCAAGCTTCGCGCTGCGAATTCATGGCGAATTTATGGGTTCCTGTCGCATTTCCCGCCTCCGAGAGCCGTTCGAATCATTTTTTGCGACTCGCCAGCTCGCCGATACTCGAGCATGCTCCCGCGAACATGTTATTAGCTCCGTATTTCAACATACTGAGCGGCTCTGATGACTCTCGGCTCTATTGAGGAGGTAGTTCAAACCGAATGCGTCCCTCCCGCGTTTCTTCCCCCGCAGAACGCGGAGGCGCTGCTGTCGCTCGGCGCGCTGCAGCTGCTGCTGCCGCTCGCGCAGGACAGCATGGCGTCCGTGCGATCCGCTGCGACGCTGTCGCTGGGTCGCCTGGCGAATGTGTCGCACACGTGGTCGCACCACCTCGTGCAGCGCAACGTGCTGCCGTCGCTCTGCAAGGCGCTCACGTCAGTCCTGCCTTTAAGTGCTTGAGTCATTTCTAACGATGACTTATCTGCTTCTATATCCGCGACTCGCTAGCTTTTTGTCCTTTTTGAGCTCTGCAGTGCTTTGTATGCAACACACTCACATCAGTCCCACCGCCTCGTCATTCCTCTCCTCACCATCCTATCCCTCGTCTTCCCCTCTCGTCTCCCTCCCCTCCCCAGAGGCACCAATCGCCACCACAAGCGCGCAGCAGCATATCTAGTCAAGGCCGTGTCACGCCACGCTGGCGCTGAGCTGGCAGAGGCGGGAGTGCTGCCATTGCTGACGGAGTGCCTTCTGGATGCCATGCTGGCGGTGAGGGAGACAGCTGCATGCGCATTGGGCCACGTAGCAAAGCACAGCGGTGACATGGCGATGAGAGTGGTTAAGACGGGTGCAGTGCGGTTGCTGGTGACATGCCTTCAGGTGGGATTCGCAAATTGCATAACTTGGCAACCTGGCTGGGTGTAACCCATGTTTCCATGCACTCTCACAGTCTCTACTGCATGCATCAATGTGTCACTTGGCTCGTAAAGCATGCCTTCATCCCCTCTTTGTCAGGTGGCATTACCTCATCTCGTCTCTCACATATCTCATATCCTCCTGGTATCTCATCTCCCCATGTCGCATATCCTTCTATCCCATAACAGGACGAAGCTGTAGCGCGGATAGCCCTCTCAGTGCTGAGTGACGTGGCACGCCACTCGCTACTGCATGCTACAGCCGTGGCCGATGCGGGCGGCATTACCGCCGCCGTCTCTCTGTTGGGATCACCTGACGTCAAGACAAGGCGTCAGGTGCTGTTCTCGTAACTAACACCTGTTGTTTAAATGCACTCATGTCACTTCATGCCATCCATATCTCTGCTCATGCGTCCCCAACGCCCACTCCCATCCCCGGGCTAATCACCTTTGCCCTCCTGTGCACCACTCGTGCTCCTTCTCCTTCTCCTTCTCCTTCTCCTTCTCCTTCTCCTTCTTCACCTGCAGTTCTGCCCTTGTCGTTAGCTCCTGCCCGCTTCTGCACAACCACCTTAACTTTGCATTTCTACAACACCCCTTCTGCACCCATCTCGACAGCTCCCTGTCTCCCCACCCATCTGCACCCATCTCGACAGCTCCCTGTCTCCCCACCCATCTGCACCGGTTTGCACCACTTGCAGGTCTGCGTCTGCCTCTCTACCATCGCCAGGCACTCTGAATCCCTCGCCCTGGTAAGCACTGCTCCAAACCATTCCAAACAGCTCGAAAACTTCCTGAACATTCCTGAACCACTCTAAACCGTTACCCTTGGTACTCTCTTCTCTGCACGGCATAAACCCCTGTCCGCCTGCACACTCCTCGCTTCACTATCTCTTTCCGAATCTCAGCAAGCGTTGGACCACCCCAGTGCATGTCGTTTGCTGCTTTGCCAGTGGTCTGAAGAAGGCTAATAAGCTGAAACCGGTTGGTGTGAAGAAGGCTAATAAGCCTAAACTGGTTACCATCAATTTTTTCACAAAGTTTGTTCAAGCAAACAACAACTTTCAAATTTAAATCAAAACAATTCGCTGCCACGTAAAGAGATGGCTCCGACCTGGGGCTCCATTGGACCTATCTCTTTCCGAATCTCAGCAAGCGTTGGACCACCCCAGTGCATGTCGTTTGCTGCTTTGCCAGCACGGCATGCTCATGCTTACTTACCCCTCCCCCTTCTCTCTCTTCCCGCTCAGCAAGTGTTGGACCAACCCGGAGCATCTCGCCTGCTGCTCTGTCTGCACGACTCATCGCCCTCTCTGCACGCATCAGCAGTAGCTTGGAGTGAGGGAGGTGGCGAGGCAGGAGCTTGGAGTGAGGGAGGTGGCGAGGCAGGAGCTTGGAGTGAGGGAGGTGGCGAGGCAGGAGCTTGTATACTCATTCCAAACCCTATCTACCCACCCGCCTCCCCACTCTCCCCTACCCCTTTTCCCCCTCCCCCTCTCCCCTTCCCCCTCTCCGTTTCCTACTCTCTCTTCCCGCGCAGCAAGTATTGGACCAACCTGGAGCATCTTGCCTGCTGCTCTGCCTGCACGACTCGTCTCCCTCGCTGCGCGCATCAACAGCAGCATCAGCACTGAGGGAGGTCGCGAGGCAGGGCCCCATACACTCAATTCAGCCCCTCTCTACCCACCCTCTCCCCCACTCTGCCCTTCCCCCTCCCTCCTCTTCCCATCCCCCCTCTCCCTTTCCCCGTATCCCCCCTCCCTTCTCTTTCATCCCGGATTCGCAGCAAGTGTTGGACCAACCCGGAGCGTCCCGTTTGCTGCTCTGCCTGCACGACTCATCGCCCTCCCTACAGGCGTCAGCAGCAGCGGCAGTGAGGGAGGTGGCGAGAGCCTTACATACTCATGTCAACCCTTCTCTACCCCCCCGTCTCTGCCAATCCCCCCTTCCCCCTCCCTCCGCTGCCGCTCCCCCTCTCCCATTCCCCTAATCCCCTCTCCCTTCTCTCTCTATTACCCCTCAGCAAGTGTTGGACCAACCCGGAGCATCTCGCCTGCTGCTCTGCCTGCACGACTCATCGCCCTCCCTGCGGGCGTCAGCAGCAGCAGCAGTGAGAGAGGTGGCGAGGCAGGGACCAGCAGCAGCGGGCCGGCTGGTGGGAATGGGGGGCATTGGGCCGCTGCTGGATGCTGTGGGAACGTGGAGGGATGAAGGGGAGGGGGAGGGCATGACAAAAGGCTCTGCCAAGGTTTCAGGTCAGTGGCTTGTGTTCCCTTTGTGATCTTGTTGCGGTGGGCACGTGGAGAGACGAAGGCTCTGGCAAAGTTTCAGGTCTGTGACTTTCAGGTCTGAGCTATGTCTGGATCTCACTTGCACAATATTCTACTTGCACGCACGCAGCTCACTGAGCTACAATATAATCTCCAGCCTCACTCTCGCTCACACACTCACTCACATATGCTCACTCACATTCCCCTCTCCTCACCATCACCCTCTCCTCACCATCACTCCATCCCAAATCACTCTAACAACATCCATGCCATCCACCACACCACTCCCCTCCATCTCCCAGTGGTGGTGGCCCTCGGCTTCCTGGCAGCTTCCTCCCCCGATGCAGCGCTGGCAGTGGTGGCATCGGACGGCATATCCCCGCTGCAGGATCTCATAGTGGAGGGCCATGCTGACGTCACTCTCAAAGGGGCCTGCGCATGGGCGCTCTCCCAGATGGCTTCCCATGGGTGAGGATGGGTGAGGATGGGTGAGGATGGGTGGGAACGGACGGGGGCGATGGGTCGGGATTGGTCGGGCTTCTGACATGATATCAGCACCCACAGTTTGTTGATGCAATTCTTTTCCTTCTCTTGCCTCACCTACCCTTCTCTTGCCCCACCCACCCTTCTCTTGACCCACCTACCCTTCTGCCCTATTTTGTTGGCACGTGTCAGTCCCAGCCATGCCAAGGCCGTGGCAGGACAGTGGAGTGCTAATTACATATTAACAGCAGCCACAGGTTGATAACATAAATATTTTCCTTCTCTTGCACAGCCTTGCTTCTGCTCTGTTCCTTCACTTTGCCAAGGCAGTTTCAGACAGTGGGGTGTTGATCGACATGGTAACAGCAGCCACAAGTTGATCCCCTTATAGTCTCTTCCTTTCTCCTGCACTGCCTACCCTTTTCTGCCCATTCCTTGCCACGTGCCAGTCCCAGCCACGCCAAGGCAGTGGCAGGCAGTGGGGTGTTGATCGACATGGTGACAGCAGCCACCGTTCACCTCCCTGCTCTCGACCCTGCTGCTTCTGCGAAGGCAGATGGTGCAGCTGTTACATCCACTGCTTCTGAAGGAAGAGGCTTGGCAGCGGAGGCTCGGCAGCGCTTGGTGCGGGCAGTGAAGGACGTGGTGGTTCGGTTGAATGACATTGAAGCTCTTGATGCGCTGCTGCAGGTACATTGCTTCTATTGCATGCACACCCCCCCTTTGTCCTTCTCCACTCGCTTTCATCCTCCAATATAGCTTTCACTTACACGTCACCTCACACTTCCCGCTGCTTCCAAACCTCCCCTTCTCCCCTCCCCTTCTCTGCACTGTGTGCTTCCTCTTCTCCCATTCCCCCTTACTCCTCCCCCTCCCATCTTCCCCCCTCCCCTCTCCGCCCTCCCTTCCTCCGCCTTCCCCATGCAGTGGACAAAGCTGCCCCATGGCATACTGGAGTCTGTCCTGCATCGCATGTCTGTAGTGCTCGCTAAAGACAATGCCTGCCGACCAGCCTTCCTTGCGTCGAACGGCTTCACCCGTCTGCAGCGCCTGCTACAGCTGGCAGAGGCAAAGAGAGCCGCTGCTACTGCCGACGCCGCCGCAAACGCTGCCGCCTCTGCCGCTGCTGACGGTGCAAATGCTGAGAGCCCAGGAGACAGGGCGGCGAAAGTGACCCGATTCGATCCTGCCTCGGTGCGCTGCATAGAGGGCGGCGTGGATTGGGACCTAGTGGAGGACCACGTGTCGTCTATCAACTCGCTCTTCCCCTTCGAGGTATCCCGTTTCTACTCTGCAGACTACCAGCAGCACCTCCTACAGAAGCTCTCAGACAGCGTCAAGCCGGAGTGGGCTGCCATTGCCACAGCAGCTGCTAGCCCCCGAGCCATGTCGATCAAGGCTCGGGAGGGCAGGTTCGTGAGGGGCGGGAGAAGGCCGGTTGATGTGGAGGAGGTGGGGAGAGGGGGGTGGGAGGCTCCGGATTTGGGGCCGGTGATGGAGGAGGAGGGTGAGGAGGACGAGGATGGGGAAGGGGAAGAGGGTGAGGAGGAGGAGATGGGGGAAGGAGGGTCTATGTTGGAAGGAGGAGGTTTGGATGGAGAGGGTGAGAGTGGGGAGGATGGGAGATGGGGAGGGGATGGGGATGGAGGGGTGAAGCTGATGCAGGTGCGAGTGGGGAGGGGTGGTGTGGAGCGGATAGAAGGAGGGAGGGAGGAAGTTGGAGGTGGAACAAGTGAAATGGGAGGAGGAGGGGAGGGGCAAGGAGGGGTGACTGAAGGGGAGGGAAGAGGGATGGACGGGGATGGTTCTAGTGTGCAAAAGCACCAGAGTATGCTGACCAGTGATGAGAGATGTGGGGCTGGTGAGGAGAAGAGGGGCGATGCAGCAATGATACTAGATGGCAGCACTCCCCCTGAGGTAGGGGATGGTGGCAGTTTGGTGGTGGAGAATGTGCGAGTGGAGGATGGTGGTAGTGGGGAGGAGATGAAGGATCGAAGTGGGGGGGGTGAAGGATGAAATTGGGAAAGTGAAGGATGGAAATGGGCGGATGACAGGTGCTAATGGGGAAAAGAAGGATGGCAACGGGGGGAGGAAGGATGAAAACCGGGACATGGAGGTTGAAATGGGGGAATGAAGCATGGTTGTGAGGAAACGAAGGATGGAAATGGGGAAACTAAGGTCGGTAATGAGTGGACAAAGGATGGGAAGGAAGTGATGAAGGATAGTATTGGGGGGGTGAAAGATGAGAATGAGAAGACGGAGGATGGCAATGAGGGGATTAAGGATGGAAATCAGGCAGAGGTTAAAGATTATGAAGCAGGGAAAAGGAGCTGAGGCATATGTTGTTTCAGCATTAAATACTTTTGAATGCATGTTCAAATGAGCAGCTTTGCTAGGTATCAATAACTTGTACCTGGTGTTTTTTTTAATCGTATTCTCTGTTTGTTGGCACAATCTATTTACTGCTTGCCATCAGTCAAGCCGAGCAAATACGGTACAGTACAGAATTCCGTTTCCCTGTCTTTATGAGGCGGTTATCATCCGCCCTTCGCACCTGTGATCCTGACTGGATCTTCTCCGCCTAGGTGGGCGCATATTTATTGCGCCTGGGTGGACCGGCGTGGGGACACCAGTGGAGGGATAGGCATGGTGCCACTAGGCCATCACAACCCCGCTCCCACAAACTCTCGATTTCCCCTCGATCGAACGGTCATCGTTGTCGCAAACAAAGCTGCTGTATTTCGCGAATGCACCTTGCCGTTCTACGATTTCGCAAAACTCGTCGAAGCACAGAATATTCTTTCGCCAAGTGATCTTGTGCGCCACTTTCGCCATTCCTATCTTCTTCTATCCCAGTCTCTCCCTCTGCACTACCCAACCCACCACTTACCTGCCTGATAAAATCTAGGGTCTGAAAACTGTACGCCCCTTATCTAGGGTCTGAGCTGGCAGGCGTTCATTATAAACGCCTGTTTCTGACGCTATTTTTTTTAAGAGCGTTCCTTCTTGTAGTCGCGTGCTCCATACCCGCGACTCTCGCTACAATGCGCGGGTTTACGGGGCTGGCGCCACGATATTTCCGAGTTTGATGCGTTCGCTGGCCTTAGGGTTAGCGACCTTTTCTAGTATCCCGAAACTCGATTCTCTGTATCCACGTTGAAGCGTCAAAAAGGGATCTTTTCGCGTCTATTAGGGCTAGCGATGTCGACCGGCGAAGCGGAGGTTGCCGGAGAGGCAGCCGCATCACCAGCGCCTCCTCCGCTCGAATGGAAATTCGGTCAGGTTTTCGGCGAACGGGCAGCTGGAGAGGAAGTTCAAGATGGTGAGTTGGAGGGGCTATTATACCATACACTTGACGTAAAGTACGGTACATATTAAGTGGTTCGGAGAAGCTTGATGAAAGACGTCCTTAGAACATATTTTGGCGGTATTATGTGTGTTTAGATATTGGAATCGAAGTCCCTGCCGTTGCGTTGTAAAGCCAGAATGCATGGAATAGTAAAGATCAATCGCATTGCTCGGCTAGTTTTAAGCTTGGAGTGTTATGGCGTAGATGGCACGTTATGTCCATTCGACCGTAGGCGACTCTTATTGGGTTGATTTAGGCATTAGTGGCGGAATGCGCAGTGCTGACAACGGTAGCAATCGCAGAAGCAGCTGTTTTTTCGAGGCGAGTGAAAAAATCGTCGGATGTAGATATTAGGTGGCGGAATGTGCGGCTTTCACATCGACAGTCTTCGCAGCAACAGTTAGACTGAATGTCGAAAGCTTACAGATTAACAGTGCAGACCAGTTTTTACGATGAAACTATCCAGTCTGTAGAGTATTCTGATCAACGTTAGTCAAACAGCCTAGATAAATCGTTGACGGACATGAAGCCGCAGCTTCGATGGCATACCCCTTCAACTCTAGTCGGCAGCTTCCCGATCTTATATAGGTTGCTGACATTGCAATGATCGCCAGCTCTTCCTGAGACTACGCGTGTACTAATCTAATCTGCCTGCTGCTCTGTGCGGTTCCGTACGGTTCTATGGTGCGGTGCAGTGGACATAATATCGGCGATTGAGTTCGATCGTAGCGGCGAGCACCTGGCGACGGGCGACAGAGGCGGGCGAGTGGTGCTGTTTGACCGCATTGACCTGCGCGACGTGAGTGGTGCTGTTTGACCGCATTGACCTGCGCGACGTGATTCTCTATTTTCGAAGCTCGCATTATGTCTGCATCGGCATGACGTCGGTACTATTTGCATGATGTGTCGTCTGTATGCTGTTTCTCTGCTCGACGTCAAGCATTAATCGGCGTGGCTTGAGTCTGCATTGATCTGCATGGATTTATTCAGCATGATCCTAAATAATAAGTAATTCCAACGTCGGCCTTACTATCTACTTTAAACCAGAACACACCCGCTGCTTTTCAGCCCTTTCGCGTCCTCACCCATTAGGATTTCCGCTTGTCATGAAATAACAAAATAAAAAGGGGGATTAATGCACGCGGAGACGCAATGAAGACTCCTTAGTAGTCGTCGTATGCGCTCTTCCCTTGCTCACCTCTACTCACTCCTACTCACTCCTACTCACTCCTGCTCACCCGCTTTCACGGTTGCTCACGCCTTCCCACTGTATCCCATCCCGTCCCATGCGCGCGTTCCCATGCGTACCACCAGGCGCGGGGTCGGCGGGAGATGGAAGCGAGCGACTACCCCCCCGCCGCGCACCAGCAGATCGACTACCGCTACTCCACTGAGTTCCAGAGCCACGAGCCCGAGGTACGGCCAAGTGACATGTCCGGGAGTGGGAGGCACGTCTTTCGTGTGCAGGAGGGGAGCAAGGGGATGGGTGCGGAGAAGGGAATGAAATGGGACGCGCTTGGTAGCTGGTAGGATGGGTAGCCTGGCCTGCAGATCCATTCAGGTGCGGAGCTACGAGTCCGAGCTATCGCTACGGGGGGATGTGCGGGAGTGGGGCATATGCACGGATGAAGGAATGAGGGCGTAGGCCCCGTTTTTGGCGTGTTGGTAGGCAGCGCGCCAGTAGATCGATTACCTCTGCTGCTGCTCTGTGTAGTTGCAGAGCCACTAATCGGGGGTACTGCTGTTTAGCACAGGATGGGGTTGGAAAAGGATCAGGAGGAGATTTGATAGGCATGGGAAATCAAACAATTTGACACGGAATTGTGGATGAACACATTTCTCAGCCGGTCATCACGAGCGCCGCTGAGTTTTCGAGCACACGAGTTACCTGTGTGGACCCTGCTATGCTGTGCGCTGGTGGAAGGTAAAGGAGAGCACTGATAGAATCCACCTTAGCTCAAGCTACTAGAGATAGAGAGGAGGAGGTAAACACTACCCAGTCGAGCACCCCAATGTGTCATGTACCCTCCCTGACCGCACTTCACCCCTTTCCCTCCTTTCCACTTCCAACCCCTCCGTCTCCACCTTTTTCCTTCCCCCACTCACCACCCTTTCCGCCAGTTCGACTACCTCAAGTCGCTGGAGATAGAGGAAAAAATCAACAAGATCCGGTGGGTCAACTCCTCCCAGGGCGCGCTCTACGTGCTCTCCACCAACGACAAAACCATCAAGCTCTGGCGCGTCACCGAGCGCCGCGTCAAGGCCGTCTCGCAGTTCAACTGCCCGCCCCGCACAGCCGCAGACTACCTCGACTCCGCCAATGCCCCAGCAGACCCAGCAGCAGCAGCGGATGCGGTCCCAGCGCCGCCGGTTTCAGTGCCTGGAGGGGCGCAGATTAATCCGCGGTATCTGCCGCGTCCCGGGTCGCTGTCTGCTGCTTCGGTTACGGCGAGAGCGGTGGCTGCTGGTGCTGGAGCAGTGCTGAACGGTGTGGGCGAGGGCATGGAGCTGGACTTTCCTCCTGGAGGGTTTCCCCAACTGCGCCTGCCTGCTGTGGTCAGTGCTGCCTGCCCTGCTCTGTGCGTCACGTGCTCCACTCCTATCGTCCCATCAAAATCTTGTTGCCCTCCCACTTTGCCCCCCCCCTCCCCCCCCCCCCCCCACCGTGCCTTCCTTCGCATTGTATCCTCATCCCCACCTTGCTCTCCCCCTCTTCCCCACCTTGCCCTCCCGCGCATCTAGACCTCTCCCACCCTGTCCTCCCTCCCATCGTGCCTCCCTCCCATCCTCCCTCTTCCCATCTTGCCCTTCCCCCCCCACCTTGCCCTCCGGCCCATTGTACCCTCCCTCCCATCTTTCTCTCCCCTCCCCCCCTCCCAGGTGTCAACCAACGAGACAACGTTGGTGGCGCGGTGCCGCCGTGTCTTCTCCAACGCGCATGCCTACCACATAAACTCCATCTCCTGCAACAGGTCAGTCAGCCGCCGCTGCTCTAGAACAGGTGCGTGCGGTGCTCCGTGTTGCCTACAAGCAGTAGCCTGTGCTGTCTTGACGCACGCCTACCACTTAAACTCCATCTCCTGCAACAGGTCAGTCAGCTGCTCTTGCACGCAGTCTGTCACCTGCTGCTGCTACTGCTGCTTACCAGCAATAGCCTGTGCTGCTGCAAAGCATACCTACGAATGGCATAGACTCTCTGAGCTATTACCCCTCGCAAGCGCTGCCCTTCTGCTCGTTTCCCTCGCCATCCGCTTCACCCTCCCACGCACCAACCCTCACCCCTCCGCTCGCTTACCCCCTACCCTCTCGCCGTCACCACAGCGTCTACGGGACATTCATCTCAGCTGACAACTGGCTGGGGGCTAACCTGTGAAGCCTGGACGCCTGTTCACAAGCCTCCATCCTAGTCCCCTCCACCATTCCCGCCTCATAACCTCCATAAAACATTGTCCTTCCGACTCCTTTCTCCCTCCCCCCCTCCCCACCCCCTCAAACCCCTCTCCTCTTCCTCCTCCTCCTCCTCCTCCTCCTCCTCCCCCTTCCTCCCCCCACTCCCCTCCTCCCTCCCCCCCTTACCGCCTCTCCTCTCCCTTTGCCCTCTGCAGCGATCGTGAGACGTTCATATCAGCGGACGACCTGAGGGTGAACCTGTGGAACCTGGAGAACAACTCGCAGAGCTTCAATGTGGTGGACATCAAACCCGCTAACATGGAGGACCTCACAGGTGGGTGATGGCTGGCGTGGTGTGGTGTAGGTACAAGTGTATGAGAGTGCATGCATGGCTTATGCGACTCGCAGGGCTTCAATGTGGTGGACATCAAACCCGCTAACATGGAGGACCTCACAGGTGGGTGATGGCTGGCGTGGTGTGGTGTAGGTACAAGTGTATGAGAGTGCATGCATGGCTTCAATGTGGTGGACATCAAACCCGCTAACATGGAGGACCTCACAGGTGGGTGATGGCTGGCGTGGTGTGGTGTAGGTACAAGTGTATGAGAGTGCATGCATGGCTTATGCGACTCGCAGGGCTTCAATGTGGTGGACATCAAACCCGCTAACATGGAGGACCTCACAGGTGCGGGGTGTGGTGCTGGTACTAGTAGATCTCGTTAAGTGTAAATACAAGCACATGTGTAAATACAAGCACATGTGTAAATACAAGCACATGTGTAAATACAAGCACATGTGTAAGAGTGAGCGCGCACGGCTTTGCACCTTGCAGAGCTTCAACGTGGTGGACATCAAGCCCGCTAATATGGAGGACCTTTCAGGTGGGGTGTGTAGTGCGGGTAGAAGCTTAGAAGTTTGCGTGTAAACAGACGCTTTGGTGTGGCGCAAGTGGGATTTCATGAACTGCATGTTTCTCAAGTGCGCAAGTAGGCTTCACTGCCCTTTCTTTTCCTCAATCTCTGTTTTGCCCGACCCCTTTCCACTCCCCTTTCCTGTGTCCCTCCTGTCACCCATCTTTTACCCCCATCCCCCTGGCCCCCCTCTCTTCCTCTACGCTCTCTCACCACCACACACCCCGCCCTCCCCCTCCCCCATACTCCTGTCCCCCATTATCAGAGGTGATAACGTGTGCGGAGTTCCACCCCACGCACTGCCACTCGCTCGCCTACTCCACCTCCAAGGGCACCATTCGCCTCATCGACATGCGCCAGTCCGCCCTCTGCGACCAACACTCCAAGCTGTAAGGCCCTGCTCGTGCTGCCATGTCGGCTCGTGCTGCCGTGTCTGCCCATGCTGTCATGTTTGTGCTAGTGTTGCTGGTAATTTGTGCACTGTCTGCATGCTGTGCTCACTGCATCGCACTGCCACTCGCTCGCCTACTCCACCTCCAAGGCCACCATCCGCCTCATTGACATGCGCCAGTCCTCTCTCTGCGACCAGCACTCCAAGCTGTGAGCCTTGCTGTTGCATGCGCTGCAAAGAGCCCCCCGGAAAGAGCAGGAGCCGGAAAGAGCAGGAGCTCCTTCTCGGAGATCGTCGCATCCATCAGCGATGTCGGACTCTCATAACTTCCACATTCCTCTGCTTCTTATCCGCTCTCTTCCGTGCCTCTCCCTCACAATGCCTGCTGCCAGCTTTGAGGAGCAGGAGCCTCCCGGCAACCGCTCCTTCTCGGAGATCATCGCATCCATCAGCGATGTTAAGTTCTCTCATCGTTGCCCGTCTGCTGATCTACGTCTCTCCTTCACAATGCCCTTTTGACGCGTGTGCTCCAAACAGCTTTGAGGAGCAGGAGCCTCCCGGCAACCGCTCTTTCTTCTCAGAGATCATCGCGTCCATCAGCGATGTCAAGTTCTCCAACGACGGCCGCTACATCTTCTCCCGTGATTACATGACCGTCAAGGTGACTACGTGACTGTCCAGGCGGGTGTGCTTTGTCAAAGGCACTAATGCCACTCCCTCTCGGATATCATTTTCAAGTTATCCAATGATGGCCGCTACATCTTCAGCCGCGACTACATGACCGTCAAGGTATGCCAACCAACCAACGGCATGAATGAAACATGCATGCGGGTGGTGGTGTTTCATGATAAGAATGCAGCACACAAAAAAAAGGAGGAATGAACCAACAGGGAAAGTTGAAGATGCTAGAAACATTGTGCATCTGTCATTTCATTTCTAGTTGCTAACAGGTTCTGTCTTCCCCTTTGAACGGGTTTTGAAGATCAGTGAGCATGAACCCCCCCCCCCCCCCCCCCCCCCTGGCGTGTCTTCCAATGTTCCTTCTCGCTTGTCCCTGCCTCTATTTCTCGATCTTCCGCCCCCCCAACCGCTTCCCAATTCTCACCCAAACCCCCACCTCCCCCCTCTCCCCCCCCCACCCTCCGACAGCTGTGGGACATTCACATGGAAGCGCAACCGCTGGGAACGTTCAAAGTGCATGAGTTTCTGCGACCCAAGGTGACCCCCCCCGCTCACCCCACCCCACCATGACCTTCCGTGTTCAGTCCTCGTGCTTTCCTGCTCTCTCATGCGACACAGAAGTAATTTCAGTCTCTGTGCCTGCTCCTGCCCTCTCTCCTACTCTCGAGCCATTCCTCCCTCTAGCCGCTTGCTTCGTCCAACCTCTTCCTTCCTCTCCATCCCTTTCCTGTCTTCATTCTCGTAGGGTTACCTTCGTGCCGTCACCGTTCCCTCCTCAGTTGTCCACTTTCCCTTCAGTCTCACACCACCTTCAGGTTTCCTACCCATCTCCACTGCTGCACACTCAGCTACCTCTTCACCCCTGAATCCCCTCCTCCAACCCCTCTCTGTCACGCATCACCTGTGTGACCTGTACGAGAAGAGCTGCACATTATTGTCTAGTTTGTCTGCACATTCGTCTGACCCCTACCTCACCCGTCCCCACCCCTCTGTCACCCCACCAGTTGTGCGACTTGTACGAGAACGACTGCATATTTGACAAGTTTGAGTGTACATTCTGACTCTTCCCCACCCCACCCCTCTTTCCCTCCCCCCCCTGCCACTCCTGCCCCTCTCTCCCCCGCCTCCCCTCCCCCTCTGTGATACCATCAGCTGTGCGACCTGTACGAGAACGACTGCATATTCGACAAGTTTGAGTGCACGCCGAGTGGGGACGGGCTGCGATGCGCATCTGGATCCTACAGGTGAGGCTCAGATGACCTTTCTTATACAGGCTTGTACAGGTGAGGGCGTAGGCTTTTACAGGTGAGGGCGTAGGCTTTTACAGGTGAGGGCGTAGGCTTTTACAGGTGAGGGCGTAGGCTTTTACAGGTGAGGGCGTAGGCTTTTACAGGTGAGGGCGTAGGCTTTTACTGGTGAGGGCGTAGGCTTTTACTGGTGAGTCTCAGGGTCGTACAGATGAGGATGTAGGCTCATCGTACAAGTGAGTCCCAGGCTCGTACCGGAATATGGTACATGCAACATACTTGTCTGTCATGCCAAACCCTTTGTTTCCCGCCCACTTTGTTTCTCTTAACCTTATCGTGTGCGCCTCTCTCGCTCTGCCCCCTTCTGCAGCAATCTGTTCCGGGTGTTTGGAGTGGTGCCAGGGAGTGACGAGGCCTCACTGCTCGAGTCCTCCAAAACACCAAACAGGTGCGCTCCCCTTTCTCCTTCCCTCCCACTCTATTCCGCACCGCACGCCTTTCCCCACTTCTCTCTCTCATGCACCTCCCTCCCTCCCCCCCCCTCTCCCCCCCCCCTCCCCCCACACCCCCTGCATGCTTCTCTCTCCTCACTGATTTGACCTCCCAACTCACTCTTCTTGCTTTGCAGGAAATTCTCAGTTTGTGCTAGCTTTTCATCTCTGCTCCCTGCTTGGAGCCATCAGTGGTGATAATCGCTTCCCCCCTCTTCTTTGCTCACCTGTTCCGATGTGCCATATGGTATGGGTGATGGTGTGGGTGAAAACGTGGGTGATGGCATGGCTGATTGTCACATGCTGCTTGCATTGGCACCTGGAAATATGAACTTGTGACATGACACGGGATGGTGCTGGGTGAATCTGAAATGGCATGGCATGGCATGGCATGGCATGGCTTGGCATGCTATGAGCAGGCGCATGGTGCAGACACCAGCCAAGGGAGGGGGCAGGGCAGGGGCACGCGGCCGGAGGGATGCAAGAAGAGGTCAGTAGAGAACGAAACACCCAGGCACCCCCTCTTGTTGGTGGACTAAATTGATTCATCCTACTTGTTTAGTTCACAAGCCCTTCTGCCCTCCACTTCTCATCTCCCTTTCCGGCACCACATTCCACACACCCTCTCCCTCAGCGCATCTCTTTGTTGCTCACCTTGCGCGTTTTCAAGCCTTTCTATTGGCCGGACACGGTCCCTCTGTATTATTGGTTCTTCCCGTTTGGTTATGGCAGAAGCGGTGGATTCCATGGATCCCAACGGCATGCAGCATGACTTCTCCTCAAAGCTGTTGCACCTTGCGTGGCATCCCAAGGCCAACCTCATTGCCTGTGCCGCCTCCAACTCCCTCTACATGTATTATGCCTGACCAACATGGCTCTCCGATCTCCCTGTGCATCAGGATTTGTTTTTCTTACTGGTTGATTGTCTTCTGAAATTGAACAAAGCTAGATTGGGGATCTACACAATGAAAAGCTGATAATGCACCTAACCTTTGGACATTTTGGCTATGTGAAGTGTATGCTTTCAGATTAACTGGCATGGATGATTTCGAAGAGTTGCTACACGCGAAAGGGCTGAACTGTAGTTGACTGGATTCAAAATTTGCCGCATTTGGCGCTGAGCTTCTGTACCTCCATGCACGTCCATCCCCTCCCTGCTTTTCCCTGCAATTCGGGAAACCAACACCATCGCATCGCGCAGCCATCCCAAATCCGCGATCCGGCGGATTTCACTTGTCATGTATTTGTGTGCTGCTGGTCTCGATGGAATTTCTCCCCCATCATCCATCCATTCCATCTCCTCCTTCCAGTCATGCTTCAAAAAGCAAAGCTGATGTCCACTGCCGAGGCATTACCCAAAAGACAGACAAGGTGCATGACAGCTAGTGTGCTCTCCAGTTGCTTCTTCGCCTCCGACTGGACCGTCGGCGCCCATACTGTATCAACCACCTCTTATGCATGATGCAGGCAACCGAATAAATAGAGCGTTTCATCTACCAAATCTTCCTCGCATATTTTCCTGCTAGTCCAATTCCGTCACTTCGCAGTTACAGCGAGTTTCGCATCGTCAATGCCCTCCAACTCAGCAGTCCAGCTCTCTGGCGGTCAGAAACGACTTTTTCTTCCGCTAGTGATTAGGATCTCTTTCCCCCCTATTACGCAGCGAAGAATGATCAGAAGATATCTTCTAGTCAGTAGTGCCTGCGTCGATGTTGCCTTGTCGTAGAGTGCCGCGCTTCGCCTCAGCAGCCACCAACGGGAGTTCCACCAAATGCCAGAGTACCGCATAGTAAGCTCCTGACGCTGATCCGGCGAATGCGGCTATAGATTCAGGCTTCCTAGGTGCACCTTGTCACATGCGCTCGCTCGTCTGTCACACCGTGCGCGCAGATGCCTGCGCCATGCGCAGTTGTTGTCGGCCCACTCGGCGCGCATCGCCGTGTGACGCGCGGGCTCTGCAGCCAATCGGCGCTCATGCGGGCGATGCTGTTGCTGTCCTTCGTCGCCCTCTCCGCCGGATTCACTGATATCGTCCGCCGACCAGGCCCTGCCCCGCCCCCCTTTTCGCCTCCCCCTCGTCCCCCTTCTCCTCCTCCCCGGCCCCCTCCCCCTCCCAGTCCTCCCCCGCCTCCTCCGCGCCCTCCGCCTCCTTCTCCGCCTCCGAATCCTCCCCCGCCGTCTCCCCCTCCCAGACCTCCCCCCAGCCCTCCGCCCAAACCACCGCCTCCTCCGCCATCTCCCCCTCGCCCCCCGCCTCCTCCGCGCCCTCCGCCCTCTCCACCTCCTTCTCCGCCCCCAAATCCTCCCCCACCTTCTCCCCCTCCCAGACCTCCTCCCAGCCCTCCGCCCAAACCACCGCCTCCTCCGCCATCTCCCCCTCGCCCCCCGCCTCCTCCGCGCCCTCCACCACAACCTCCGCCTACTCCCCCTCCTTCCCAGCCTCCGAAACCACCCCCTTCCCCTCCCCCGTCTCCCAACCCCCCTTCTCCGACCCCCAAATCCGCCCCTCCGCGCATCCCGCAGCTTCCGCCGCCTTCTCTCCCCCCGTCTGATGGTCCCCCAACACCCACGTTGAAACCGGAGGCGGAAATTTACCGCGTGTGCGCCGTCGCAGGTAGGCGGGATGGGGGACGTAAAGGGGGAAGGCGGAATATGGCAGATTTGGACTGGATTGTAGCAGTAAGAAAGGGCTGTAGCAGAGTGGAGTGGGAGTGTTAAGGGATGTAGCAGATCTGTTCGCAAGCTTGGTTATGAGACGGCTAAGTATGGTCAGAAGTCGGAGTGCGCAAGGGTGACTATTATTATAATCCAACAGAGACGGCCCATGAGACGCAATAGTCAGGCGTTTTAAACACTCTGAAGTGTTTTCAACTTTTGTTACAAGTCAATTCCCCACCCGCATTCTCACCCTCTCCCAACCACAGGTCCTGCTCAGTGGCAGTGCTTAGACTCGACTCAACTCCAATCCTGTGCTCAATGCTAACCTCTCAATCCCCCCGACAACAGGGCCTGCAGTTGTAACGGTCACAAGCACGCCTCTCGGGCAAACCTGGCGAGGCTGGGGCACGTCGCTAGGCTGGTTCGCGAATTACATAGGTCGCTTACCCGCCGCCGATCTCAACACCCTATTAGACCTCCTATTCCACCCCACGCGCGGCCTCGGTCTTAATATGGTCCGGCACTTAATCGGAGCGGGCTTTAATCCCGCACGCTCGCCTCAAATGACGTCTTTAGGACCGCCGTTCGACGCGCGCCCGATGCCCGGGTATAAACCGAAGGCTGCAGGGCCGTACGATTGGGCGGCAGATTGGCGGCAGCGGCGCGTGCTGATTGGTGCGCTGGCACGCGGAGTTGATTCGGTAGAAGCAGTAGCTTATTCGCCGCCGTGGTGGATGACTCTTAGCGGGGATGTGTCAGGCGGTCACGCGAACACCAACAACATACGGCCGAAATACTACGAGGCATTCGCGGACTATTTAGCTACTATAGTGCAGAAATTTAGAGATGCGTGGAACGTCACGTTTGTAGCGATTAGTCCGACTAACGAGCCGCTGGAAGGTTGGTGGGAGCAAGGAGGTATACAGGAGGGGTGTAACTTCGACGCCCAGGCGCTGCAGAAACTGATTCCATTAGTCGTGCGAGCTCTCAAGAAACGAAACCTGGTAACCCGAGTGGCAGGATTCGACAGTCTAGTAGACTCCACGGTTCGTTATAAGCGGTTCTGGAGTGCTGCTAAGCAGCAATCGCTACAGCCATTGAGGCATCTTAGCGTTCATGGGTATATATTTCCGAGAGGAAACTCGACAGGAATTTACAGCCCGAGACTTTATGTCGAACAAATGTTTGGTCGAATGCGCGAGGTGGGTAAGAGTCTACAGAAGGAGGTTTGGGTTACCGAAGCAGGACCCTTATTCATGAAAGGGGGAGCAGACATTGATATTGCCGTGCACATGGCACGAACGGTCATCCAATCGGTGAACATCATGGGCGCATCCACTTGGATTTTCTGGCAAGCAGTGGGGAACACTCGCACATGGGCCTTTCTTATTATTCCTATGGCTCCGATTAAAAGCGTGGAGCTTCCACCTTTCTCGGTGGACTATTCGAAGAAGTATTTTGTAATGAAGCAGCTTGTACAGGGGGCGCCGAAGGGGAGCAAGCCGTTACAGGTTACCACTGCGCAAGGGTGTCATCATTGCGTGGCTGCATTCTACTCTGCTGCCCGGCGCCAACTGGCAGTGTTTGTGGCCAATCAAGACGGGGATGATTACCACGTGTCATTGGCCATTGATTCTTTTGCAGCAGACAATTCAGCTGCTCCTGTACAAGTCAGGATGTACAGGACAGCTTATAACGAGGATATGGAGCCCACATTTGCCCAGGCATATTATTCAATGCCAAAGACTGTTAAGGTGTTGGCTCGTTCCCTGAGCTTTACATCCGTTCTAGTGTCAAACATTGTGCTTGGATAAAGCGTATGGAACAGTATTCTGTTAATTCTTTCTGCTGTAATTTCTACCCCTGCGTGCGTGACTCTCTGGAAAGGAGAGGAAGGGAGAGGAGAGAGCAATGTGTCAAATTACATTTGTATGTGTAGGCTGTAGCGGGGTAGCCTCTACTGAGTACAATACTTTAGGTCAAACCTAGTACCGTCATACCCCGGATAGTAGCGCATATGCGCTTATAATAAATTCATTTTTTTTAGGGGGGGTGCTTGTAATTGAGTAACAGCCATAAGCGCCGGCGCTTTTATAAAGGCAAAACTGAATTTCACTGTAAATGATATCATTCTGAAGCCCTCAATAAGGCGAATACAACACTGTACCATGCGCGCTGGGTCATGCATGCAATGACGGCGAAACTTGCCGCACAAAACCCGTCCCGGTGCAACGCACGTGCCAGCGCTGATGCAAAACCTGCCGTGCGGCCCAATCAGGTTGGCATGCGCTGCCAGACAGGAGCATCTCGGCAGAACCATCCAGAATGTGATGGAATCGGCCGTGCCAGCGCAGCATGGATGGTGCCCCCAACCCTCCTCTGCGGGTTGAGGCAGGGTTGTACTCGTCTCTCATCGGCGAGGACCCCGAGCCGCAAACCAGAAGGGGTCCCCTTCAATCTCTCATTTCAACACCCATTCTTGCAGTTTTTGATTCATTCTTCTTTTTCTCGCACGCCTGGCTGCGGAAACCATGGCGGAATTCACATGCATTCATTTTCTCTTCAAGAAAAAACCTTCCAGTAGGCCCGCGTACCGTGTTACAGCTGACGGGTGGTATAGCCGCATACCACCAGACCCTCCAGAGCCACCACAGCCTCTTGCGCCTCCTGCGCCGCCTGCTCCTCCGGCTCCTCCAGCGCCTCCGGCTCCCCCTGCTCCTCCTGTTCCTCCGTGTCCGGTGGCCCCTCACGTCACCAACAACCACCCCGTGCTCACGCTCCTGCTCCCATCGGCGTTCGACGAGAATTCTAACAAGGGCCCCGATGTTTACGTAGATGCTCCAGCGCCAGCACCACGTTGGGGCCAGCCAGAAAACTGCACGTGGGACGAATTTGCAGTCGGCGCTGACGACGACATGCAAGACGCAGAGGAAGATTGGCGCGCTGAGGGCGACACCGGCGCCGAGGGTGGCACTGAGACCGACACCGAGGCCGCTACTGAGGCCGGCACTGCTGAGGATGTGTTTCCCGAGGGTGCGCCGGGCGGTGACGACGACGACGGCATCGAATACTGGTCACGCGATGGCCTCCCCGAGAAACTCCCGATACCAACTTATCCTCCACGTAATCGAAAGTGACCTCACCCTTCTTCACAGAACCGTGATTCTCGCCCCCCCTCTCCCAGGCACAAGCCCAACGACCACAAGCGTCAGGCCTATACTGCTGCCGAGAAGTTGAAGTGGGTCGCGCAGCTGGATGTGGCGGTGTCGGTGCGCGCTCTGGCTCGCGAGAGTGGCATCCACCGCAAGTGCCTCGCCAACTGGAAGCGTGCCGCTGATTCCTCAAGGAAGTCCACTCTACCAGGAAGCGCATGCACGGTCGCGACAGGGCGTCGTGGTACCACGCGATGGAGATCAAGGTGTATGAGCGACTGCTCGACTGGCGACGCAAGGGAACCGCGGTGTCCGTCGGCCGCCTGCAAGAGTGGTCCCGGGAGTTCATGAAGTTACTCTACCCCCTCGTGAAGTGGAAAGGGAGCCAACGGTGGTCGGACCGGTTCCGTCGGCGGTGGAATCTCAGCGTGCGAATGAAGACGAAGGTCGCCCAGAAAACCGCCGCCCGTAAGAATCATTTTTTTCTCTATGCCATGTGTATGCACTTGTTACTCACTAACCGTAACTGTGCTCAACCGCAGATGTCGTGGAGCAATGCAAGAAGTTCTGGCAATTCGTCAGTGACAAGCGTTGGGAGCGCGGCATTGAGACGACGTGGATTATCAACGCCGACCAGACGCTGCTGTGGCTGGAGATGCCCGCCACCACTACCGTCGATCAAACCGGTGTTCGGTCGGTGCCCATCAGGAGCGCGGGGTACCAGAAGGAGCGCGTGACCGTGATGTTGGTGTGCACGGCGGACGGGATGAAGCTGAAGCCGTGGGTTTTTTTCAAGCGGAAGACCATGCCGAAAGGGGTGTTCCCGCCGGGTAAGTCATGATTCTTGTTTGTATGATTTTCACCGGTCCTGTTTTTAAAGAGACTTACAGAAGCTTGTTTGTTATGCAGATCTGGTCGTGGCGTGTCATGATAACGGCTGGATGGACGCCAACGGCGTCATAGGATGGCTTGAGGAGTGCGTCAAGCCTTTTTTAAATCCTGGGTTCGGGAGGCATGCGCGGAGCTCGATGATCGTACTGGACTCGTACCGCGGTCACCTCACTGAGGGGGTGAAGGAGAAGTTTCGCGAGCTCAACTGCGTGCCGGCGATCATCCCGTCTGGCTGCACGGCGGAGATACAACCCCTCGAGGTCTGCATCAACAAGAGCTTTAAGGCGAGCGTCCGCCAGCAGTATCAGAAGTGGTTTCAGGAAGAAGGCCAAGAACAGCTAACTTGAGCAGGTACGATAGGCACGCGAGTCCCTATCTTACCGTAGATGAGTGTCCCCCCTTTTGTTGCGCTAACTAAATATTGTGTGATTCTGTTGGTACAGGGAACTTGAAGAAGCCACCCCCATAGGTGGTCGTGAGGTGGATCTCACGGGCCTGGAAAGCAGTGCCCGCGGACCTCATCAAGCGCGCATTCCTCACCAGTGGCATCAGCAACGCGCTTGACGGCAGTGAGGACGGCCTCGCCATGGCGCACAGGCGGAGCCAGCTGACCGCGGAGGTGGACGTTTCTGACTCCATCATCGCCGATGGCTTCTTTGGCAACAACTGCCAGGAGCCCGAATCCGACAAGGAGTAGATTTTCTAGGTAGAAATGCTATACTTTGCAATCTGTAGCTAGATAAAACTGTCAGTGATGATGTTGTAGGTGAAAAGTTATCATGCTCATGTTTAGTGTTAATTAGAGATTGTTTTTTTGTAATGAGTTCTCCACAACGTGAAAAGTGTGCGCT